TGAATGTAAATATGTACCTTGACATCCTTGTGGGAGATAGGGATTTCCGATGAACCCGTCCTTGCACGAACAACGAAATCCACCACCAGTGTCGGAGAAAGAGCAGTTAGTGTTAGGGCCGCAATAATCTTGGCAGCCTTGCTGATCTCCGATCACCCATTCAAACACCACGGGGAACATTGGAGCAGTTTCCGGATAACCAAGGAAGTTTATTTTCGATATATCAAAGGAATTTGCAACCACAAAAGCATAACTGCAGGGGTTGAAATCGAAAACGTATTTGTGATTATATATACTGGTAACCGTAATGTCCAATTGGTTGAGGTGCTTGGGGATGGAGGTCTGGCAGCATCCGAAGCCGGAGCAGGAATCGTCGTTCCTGACTTCGGTAAGGTTATAGCACAAGGTGTTGCACCCACTTCCGAACCTTCCTTCTTTGTTTTTAATTATGGCCAGCGTGTCGCAACCCAAGCCAACAAACTTGTTGTGGATGGGGGATATGATGGAAGACAAATTGTGGAATAGGACACTCTGATCCCTCCAATTCAAATAAGTGATAGAACGGTTGCGGACGTCAGAACGGCCGCTAGAACGGCCGCTAGAACGGCTGATGTTGTAGTAGCACTCGTAGGCAGAAGGAATGAGTCCGGTGATGGTGCCGTCTTCCAATGATATGTTGCTAATTACAATTTTGCCATACAAGAGGCTGCGGCTGTGGTTGCATTCAAGCAGGAAGGATGAGTTTTTGGCGCATCCAGGACGGCGAAATCCAAAAGGGAAAGGAACGCTAACGCTTCCACATGTTTGTGGGCAGTTTTCTAAAGAAATATTTGAACTTGCTGTAACGGTAGAAGATGGCAATATGACCATCATCACCACCATCCACAACAACAATTTCATCTGCATAATTTTTTGCCCTGAATCCTGTGTTTTTGTTTTTTAAATAAAGAGACAGAGTTGTATTATATATAGGCGGCAAGCTGAGTCAGGGCCGAAGACTCGTTATTGACTGGCTAGTGGCAGCAAGCTCTTATTGGTTTATTGACTTGCTTTA